GTTCTGAATTTATAATCGTTCCCACACCCCCTCAACCATCTTTCCATCTATCAACCTCTCCAACTTTAATACATCCTCTTCATTTCAAATCAATTATAAAGGAGTGTTCAGACATGTGTGGTTGTAGATGGAGAGGAGGAGGAGAAGGAGAAGAAGGAGGAGACGAAGGAGGAGAAGGAGAAGAAGAAGTAGAACGAGTATAAGGAGAAAAAGGAGGAGACAGAGGAGAAGAAGGAAGAGGATGAAAAGAAGAAGAATGAGGAAAAGGAGAACAAGGATAAAGGAGGAACAGAAGGAGAAGAAGAAGAAGAAGGGGAAGAAGGGGAAGAAGGAGGAGAAGGAGTAAAAGGAGAAGGAGGAGAGGGAGGAAAAGGAGGAGAAGGAAGAGGAAAGGAGAAGGAGGAGGAGAAGGAGAAAAAGGAGAAGAAAAAGTAGGAGAAAAATATGGAGTGAAAGGAGGTGAAGATGGGAAAAAATTCTTCAAATTCAGCAAAAAAAATTCTTTTAAAAATGGTATTTTAAAAAGATAAGGAGAAGCAGGAGAGAGAAGAAAAGAAAATAACAGTTTATGCTCCAAAATCAACTAAAAAAACTTTCTTTTAAGAATCAAAAACAATTTCACCTTTTCAAGTTTTCAACTCCTATTGTGAGAATGATTAAGGAGGATATGAATAAAATTATTCAGTTCAAGAGAAAGGGCGTATTCTTCATAAGATAATATTTACGGGGGAGGATGCCAAAAATATAATTTTCATTAACAAAACTTAATTTCTCTGTATATAATCGACATGTAAGAAAAAATTTAAATTTCCTCTAATTATTATAATTACAACAGATGTTTTGTTGTAAAGGTCTGTTTATCGTTTCATAAAAATGCTGAGATATATTCCCGGATCCGCATTCACCAAATTCCAGTACATTGAGATACATCTAGATGGGAGGGGGGACAGAGGCCACTCCCCTCCGAAAAAAACCTAATAAAAGCAACAAAAAGAAAACGATATATAATTGTTTTCTTTGCCGAAAATCCACCTCATTCCAACAAAATCTTTTGACAAAAACAAGTGGCAAGTTAAATCTTTTTCATTTCGGAAAAAAAAACAATATATATTTTCATTACAAAAAATTGGTTCCAACTTTTGGGGTTTTCTATCCCATCCATTTAAACTTCATAGGGAGAGGCTTCTGAGACCACAGTCTTATTTCTTACATCTATGGTTCCAGGTAAAGACAAAAATGTGGTGTGCCTTAATTCTGTAAAACAAGTAAGTTGTGCAACCTTTTTGATATTGTCTTTGTTATGAGATATCAGCAAACCAAAAAATGTATTTAAATTTAATTATCTTTTTTGTCTCATCCATTGTGGGTAACCCTGTACAAAACAGTAAATATATATACAGTGGTGAGTGGGGTTCTGTTGTGAATTAAAATATTTCTAAGAACATGAAACACAACAATTGTGTAATATACACAAACCCATTTCACAATTAATATTTAGTCTTTCAAGCTATAACTGGGGAAAATATTTGCTTTATAATAACTTCAAATATGTATAAAAACTTGCATAAATAACATCTTTTTATTTTACAGTTTTATGGGTCCCACGAACAAACTAAACTTTTAAATCCTTTTTCTAATGATCCTTCTTTGCATCCTGTTCGTGCTTGAACCCTTGCTGCCCGCACCAATTATTATCCCTGCTCGGCTAGATTAGCATCTTTCTATTTCCAGGGGTCAGACAGTGTCAGATTCCTCAGAAATCATAACTTCTCTAAACCCGGTATTCGTCTTCGCTGATTATGGGAGTAGCGCGCGGTATTCAGAGTAAAGTTGCGCACGGCGCGAGGCCGGGAGCAATACGGGATGAATTAAAATTCCTACTTGGGTTCCTCCGCCCTGGAACCGGGCGCTTCCCACGATTACGAAGATAAGAAGAACTATTATTATGGAGATTTCTGCAAATTGAGTTCAAATGTGAACCAGGAGAATTATCAGCATCCCTGTTTATTATTCCTAGATATGGATATACATAAAGATCTTTATCATTGTGTTGTATAATGGGGAGGGGGGGGAAATGCTCATTGGAGATTTTTTTTTTTTTTTTTGCAACTCAAGGTTTAAATTTGATGATTTGCAAGTTATGTTTAAAAAAAACTATCCGAACAATTTTTTGGAACCTTTTTCTTCTTCTTAAAGTTAGTTTTCAGAAAAAATTCTCTGGTTAATATTTGATCATGCAACATTTTTTTCAGGGGAGATTAGGGTAAACTTTATCTTTTTTTATTAAAAAAGGGACATTATTGTTTATACTTATTCTAAGAAATTTAAACAAAATAGTCTGATGTTTTTTAGCCCTGATCTATAGGGATTGGAATGAAAATTAGGGTTTAGTCATCCGATATATATATATTGTAGGTTTTCTTCTACTATACATTATGTTCACTACTTATTATTTACCAGGTTTTCTTTAAGCTTGGGAATCATTTTTATTTAAAAACTAGGTTGGAAACCCAGCTTGGTCTGGAAACTGAATTTAATACAGGATTTTTAAATTAAACTAAGAACGTTCCCTTGGTTCTACTGAGTTACACAATCAAAATTTGAGGCAAATCGGTCAAGGGGATCATATTTCATAACAAGACAGACCAACCAACAAACAGAGATTACTACTTTATATACAGTCATCGTCCTATATAAAGCTACAATGAAGACGACTTTCCTTTTCCGTTTGGATTTCTACCATGAGCTTTCAAACTGAAGTACAGATACACATAAACATGGAAACAAAGAGACGCTGTCAATTGTACAGTCTCTATGTGTTTAGTTGTAAACTTGTAATTTGAAAAAAGCTTTTTATAAATCAAAACTTGAATCAAAAAGTCATCTTCATCTCAGATTCTTGTGGAACATCTTAAAACTCAAAAAATAAAAGAGATCTCTAATTGTTCATGTCAAGAAGACCCAAACAAAGATGTCCACTGCTTGACATCTGTAGGCCAAGCTGGGAAGGAAGGGAGAAAAATAGGGAAATTGGTTGAACATTAAAAATATGTAAAGAGGAGAAAAATTATTTTAAGAAATATTATTTTCTATAGGTTTATATAGCTTTAAGAATCATTCTTCTTATTTAAAAAATAATGCTACAAATTTGAGAAAAGTTTATTTATATTGTTTCTTTATATTTAAGAATAGTTTCTATATATCTAAGAAAAGTTTCTATATATTTAAGAATAGTTTCTATATATTTAAGAATAGTTTCTATATATTTAAGAATAGTTTCTATATATTTAAGAATAGTTTCTATATATTTAAGAATAGTGTCTATATATTTAAGAGTAGTTTCTATATATTTAAGAATAGTTTCTATATATTTAAGAATAGTTTCTTTATATTTAAGAATAGTTTCTATATGTTTAAGAATAATTTCTACATTTTTAAGAAAAGTTTCTATATATTTAAGAGCTGTTTCTTGAGATTTAAGAATTGTTTCTATATATTTAAGAATGGTTTCTATATATTAAAGAATAGTTTCTTGAGATTTGAGAATAGTTTCTGTATATTTAAGAATAGTTGCTATATATATTTAAGAATTGTTTCTACATATTTCAGAATAGTTTCTATATATTTAATAATAGTTTCTATATATTTAAGAGTTGTTTCTTGAGATTTAAGAATTGTTTCTATATATATTTCAGAATAGTTTCTATATATTTAAGAATAGTTTCTATATATTTAAGAATAGTTTCATAGATTCAAGAATTTTAGAAGGGCTGGGGATAATGCATAGAATATATGTTTTCCTGCAGTAGAAATGCGCAAGTCGCTTTTGCAGAGAAACAACAACTTAAAATAGTCAGTTTTCAAAATTACAAACGTAAAGATCTGATTCATACTTAATTAGTAAAAGGTTTTCAGGTTTTCATGGTACTATTTTAAACTGGGCATTGCCATTTTTCCAGGGGATTCACTTTAAATCACGCTTACATTCCCTTTTAGATATGACAGAAGTTGAATTTCAAGAAATCCCGTTTAATTTGATTTATGAAATGTTCTTAAATGGAAATCTTGGGTAATTGTTGTTGATATCTTACTCATGGTATTCATGGATCTCCAAATGTGCTTAACCCAGCGCAATTACCTGGAAATGAATGAGAATAGAGGAGGGGTTTTGCTGCAAGGTCTTGTCATTAGACCCGTCTGTGAATGGGAATTTGATATCTGGGTATCAAGGTATGTAAATTGATGTAAATTGGTTTAGAACTGTCCTTAAGCCCGACACAGAGGTTTCAGTTAATTGCAGGGTAGGGAGGGGGAGTATAGGGGTAAGGGCTAAGGGGGAGGGGGTGCTCCTAATAGATTGAATAACAAGACGGCAAGGGGCAACTTAAAGACTATTAGATCCAAAGAATAAACGGTTCGAAATATCAAAAGTCTACAACATCAGGTTTCAAAAATAAAGGAATTTAGAAGTTATTTGCAAAAGTAAAGTTTATTCTGCTGAGTACACCTGATCTGATGGAAAATTATAGAGTTCTAGAGGGGGGCATAGCCCCTGCCCCCCCCCCCCTTAGAACTCTATAATTTAAAAGCGTAACTAGGGAAAGAAGAATATTTGGCATTTCTTTATGTTTGTGTTAACAGTTCAGAGTGACATGTTTGACATGTTACCCAAGGGGTAGAATTCCCAGTTAACCAGCCATCTGGAGCTCACACTCACATGTCTACTCGATTGGGTTGACCGACTATGCTATACTTTATTTAGACTTAACACTATTTTATTAGAAACTAACTTATTGCGTTTTTAAGATTAACAAGATCTAAAAAAATGTTGATGAACACATTTTTCACAGATGATACAATTTCCAATCATTAAAATAAAAGTGGAACAAAATTCTGGATTTTTTCAATGAATGTATATAAAATTGACAGTTGTGCAACTGTATAAAAATGCAGAGCAACCCTTTGACCAAAAAAGTGCTTCTTTTTCATTAAAACATGAATGAATGTTTCATAATATATTGATTTAAATTAGTACACAAAACAGTTGATTCATGATTGTTAAAGCATTTATAAAGATTTTATCAAAATAGTTTTTGAATCATCTATATATACAATCACTGTGAACTAACCAGAAGGGAAGGTAAAATTTATGCGATATTTCTGGCACAACTTTGTGACCTCATAGCTTCTCTAGTTACAAATTTACTCACAAGTATAAAAAAATCAAAGTTATTTAATGATAAATTAGAAATTCAAAACATTTTTGTTAATCTCAATACCTTATAATAAAATATATTAGGATGGAAAATATATGACTTCAATGTTATTATGTTATGTGCAATTTACCTTAGTTTGATGTATTTCTGAATTCAAGAAACTTAACAATTTTACAAAACCTTAACTTTTTATACAAAATTATCAGGATCAATTTTTTTGTTATGATCAATTTTCGACTGGAAAATAGCCGTTTTGTGATGTGTATGAACTATGTTCTTATTAGCATGTTTAAAGTTCATATATACTTTTCATACAATACAAAATGATTAAATTAGTTAATATTAAAATACAAGATGTTGCCCTCTCTCATAAACACTGCTTGATGTTGAATATTTTCTTGTTGATGTTGGTCTAGGTGGAGCTGCTCTTGATCTAATAATATCAGCAGCCAACTCAGGATACGCATCTGATGGCTTCCGTTCCAGGTCTTCTTTAGATGGTGATGGGGTATCAATCTCTGCTTCATGTTCTACTTCTAGTGGAGGCACACAGTACACAATCATATTCATTATAAATATGATTATAACTAATGCTTGGAGAACCAAAAGATTGTATTCAAAACCTACAATGTCATAGAGAACACCGGATACTGTTGGCCCACAGAAGTTTCCCAAAGCAAAAGCGGAAGTAAAGAGTCCAGATACGACTGCCTGTACCTCCATACTATCTGGAAATCCAGCAGCTACAGCTGCTATTTGTGCTGAACTAAAACTAGCAACAAGAACTGCTGAGCATCCAAACCCTTGAGCAACTAAAGATCCACAAACACTTGCAAATGTAGCAGGGATAAAGGACATGTAGGGACAGGGTCCTATGAACACGAAGCATACAAACATAAGTAGGGTTCCAATACCAGATACTAACCATGGAGAGAACTTAGAATCACAGATAAATCCAAACAGAGGAGTTGCAAGAACTAAAAACATTAGATATTTAACTTATGTCTAAGAAAATTTATTGATTATCTTACCTGAGCAAAGTGACATCACTAAGAATGCAACAGCAATCATTTTGACGCTTATCTCCAACTCGAGAAGGAACGGGGATAGGGTTGCTTCTAGTGTCCCGACAGTGTATGCTCCGACAGAACAGGTAATTAAAGCAACAAGTACCCTCACATTTCCCAGGACCTTCTTCATTGGTAAATCCATTCCCCCAGTCTCCATGTCAGGAAACTAAATTTTGAAGTGATCAGAGTTTCCAGTCGTGATATCTTTGTGCAATGTTTGCTCAACAATGTGAATAATACAGATTTCTTGTTAATGGCTTATATCCATTGAACCTATACTACAGATTGTATGTGAAATTTTACCTCAGTTGTAAAGAGAACTAAAAGTCCACTCAGTAGAATTGCTGATCCAGTAACAGCAAAGGGAAGAAAGAAACCCCCCGCATCATATAGGAAGGCACCAATCACAGGACCAATGGTTAGACCAAAGTTAAATGCTGCATCACACCATGCCTTTTAAAATTACAACATAAGGTTCCTAAGTAAGTAAAAACTACATATTAATTATTTTCCATGAGAGAAGTAAAATAGGGGGAAGCATACATACACACATGGACTTTGTTGTCAACCTTTCACATAAGTCTAAAAGTTTCATGATCCAAACCAGTGCTAGGATAGCCTGGTGGGGAGTTTACTCTTGCTAGTATACCCAGTATGTGGTTAACCCAGCGCGTTTTATGAAACAAAATTAACTGTAGTCCTTTCAATTCTTGAAGTTAGTTATATTATTATATATAATATAATTGTAAGACAAAAAAATCATTACAATGGATAACTGAATATAGCTTTGTACACAATAATTTCACAAGAAGAAGTTGATTCATTTTGTGTACCATCCCTTTTTGCTGTCTATATTATATAACTGCACAACTTGCCCTAGATTTCTTAAAGTCAGTCCAGTGTTTCAAATGAACCAAAGTACACAGGGAATTATGGTTGTACAAAATCTTGAATGTTAAGTAGGTGATTAAGGATCATTAAATTTGGTCCCTGCATAACATGTCCTTGCTGCTAAAAAGTTGGTACATATTTTAAACGAACCCAAGAGAACTCAGGAATACTGATATTTCACTGATAAAGGTTACCTTTACTGTAGCTTTCCTCTCTGGAAACTTAGCCATCAGAATAGATAGGTTAGAGGTCCATGTTGCTGCTGCACCAACTCCCTGATTAAAATTGTGTACAAATTAAACATTAAGGATAAATCTGTTGATATCAACGTCCAAAAATATCCTAAATTAATTGCTCTTCAATCATGGAATCAATTAAATCCTAATTAATCAATTCAAATGCAAAATCCTAAAAATGTTTTTTTTTTTTTAATTCTCTTATTCTATGTTCATATTGCACTGATGCCAGTTGCGCAAAGCTACGATCTTGTTGCATTTATAAAAACACATTACCAAATAACTAGATTGTTGGAATTTGCAAGTTATACTTATTTATTATTTTAGATCATTTATTTTAGATCACGCACACTGTACATGCTAAAAATAATCCTTGAAAAACATATGTACAAAATTGTACATTCATTGCAAACATCCTTCCATTGGTTCAAATATTATTCTAAATATGTGATTTAGTCTTTAACAAATAATTAAAAATTTGTTCAGACAGAAATATATTATATAGAATTGTTTTTATTTATTAATCTTTAAATGAATGCAGCAAAATTAATGTGATCCGTTATTCTGAAGAATAACATTCAAATAATTAACATTAAAAATATTAATGTTGATTTGTTTCTTGAAGCTTTTAACAAAACCTTATATTTAATCTTTTTTTAAAAACACCAAATAAGTAAACTTTATTACAGCACTTCCAAAATTTAACTTGTTTGTTGAACTTTAAAAAACTTCAGTGATAATCTAAACTAGAGTGTTCAATGCAAATTGTTTCCAAGATTGTTATGATATTCTACTCTAATCTAGGAAAGTATATGTACCGTCCAGGGATCAAATATAATTAATTTGAGCTACATCACTGATCCACCTCCTGTCAATTCAAAGTTAAAGATTAAAGAAGGATTTGAATCAGTAATTCAAATTTGAACCAGAGGTAGGCAGTTTGAATACATTAAGTTCGGTCTCAGTCTCAGGCTTTATCCTCGGATACTGGGATGAATCCTGCTCCATGGACTTCTAGACTGTTAGACTATATTTTATGTTTCATTAAAAGAAGAATATTTAAAATGTGATATCACCTAGCTTACCAATGTGAGTTCTTTATGTACTCAATGCATGTACCTCACATTGAACCATACCTCTAGGAACCTGATGAGATAGCTGAACACCAGGAAGGTTGAGGTATCATCTACCCACTGGAGGAGTCCAAACAGGATGAAGGTTCCTCCATCAATTACAAATCCAGCAGGGAATATTGCCTTTACGCCCCACACGGACAGGTACTTGCCAACCAGGGGGCCTGAAAATGAAACAAGCATGACACTGCACTGATATGCAGAAGCCTAGTTATGTAAATCGCCGAAGAATTTGTGCATGCATTTTTCATAGGATACATCCTAAGAATTAATTTGAGGATAATGTTTGATATAAAAATAAGTGTGCAAAATGTGTTGACAAATTTGCGCAAAAAAAATGTGCAAACTACACAATAAAGGAGACAATCCTAAATTTTTTGTTTTTTTACCAAATATGAAGAGAGAGAGATGAATGATCCCAAAGACTGCTCCAAACTGTGCAGCAGAAGCACCTTTAGCTTCAGCTTCTATTGGATAAAAGGTTGCCTAAACAATTACAAAAATAAATCAAATAATTTTTGTTAATCTTGTCTGTAAATTTACAGGAATTGACATTTGCTAAAAAAATTATAGCTAAAAACAGTTTTTTTTTAATCTTTGTGAAGAAACAATCTCAAGAACTGACGAGGGTCAACCTAGACCAAAATATATTTTCAATAAATGTGGAACTAACATCTACTTTTTTACTCTACAGAGGTTTGGTCAATCACCATCACTGAATTTTAAAGCTAAAAACATGCTTGCCAGAAAAGTTCTAGAACAAATATGACTCAATAATTCAATTGAACTTTTTAAAATTGAAACATACAATGCAATAAATTTCCTTTATGTATACAGTTTTTCATGGGAATTAACATTAGTAGAGAGTTCTCAAAACACTTTCTACATAATAAATAAATAAATAATGTAAAAAAAAAACTAAAAAAAACTGTATAATACGTCAAAGAACGATGGTATATCTACAGGGTGTGTCAAAAAAGGGTGAATAATCTTAAACAGGTCAGATGAGTAGTTTCGGAGAAAATCCGCGAAATTAAATTAAGAAATTCCGTAATTTTAGAGTTAAAAAAAATCATTAGAATCAATTTTCAACAGAACAGACAATATATATATATATAACAAGAAGATGGGGATAACCGATTTTTTCAAAAATAAAATTGCGGATTTTCTGAATTTAATTTCGCACATATTCTCCAAAACTACCATCTGATCGCTTTCAGGTGTGATAGAAATAATATATTTCCGCACTTTTATTCTATTATTCTAATTTTGAGTAAAAAAAAAGTTTCGCAGATTTTTTAAAAGGGTCTAGGAGGTCGCCTTTCAAAAAAAACTCCTTAAATTTCATATATATTAGTCAAAAATGAGATAACCAAACTAAGATTATTCATTATATGCAAGATCTTGCATTCACCCTTTTTTTTGTCTCACCTTGCATCTATCTATCTATATATATATATATATACGCAGATATATATACGTCAGCGGCTATAGCTGGCCAAACGACTGGGATGACATTTTTTTGAGGAAACCCATGAGTACCAGAGGGGTAACATAGGCTTAAAAACAAGTTTTGAGAACCGATCATATCTTTAACAATGTTATTTTATTTAGAGTTCAAAGGGTACCATTGTGAATCGGGCATGCAACTATTAATTTCCATGGGTGGGGGGGTACAGTCCCTTTAAAATGATATATACCTGGAGGGAAGCGCATAATCCAACTGATGCTTGGAGTAGAAGAAATGGAATAATAGTTCTTCATCAAACTTTAATTTTTTTCACATTTAAATATTTATTGCTATTTACAAAAAATGTATGGAATGATACATAGATCTCAACCAAATAGAAAATTTTGTTTTAAATAGGATTAAAGGCTGGATCGCGAGGTGTCAGAGAAGTATTATTTTGCCAAATTAGTGAACGATCTAGATGTTAAATTAGGCAATCTTTAAGATCAATTAGATCCTTCCAATAATTATTTTGGCCTCACTTAAACTATAAAGCAATAATAAGAGCAGCTTCTCTGTTTTTGAATTTAGTAATACAAATTGTTTCGGGTTGCTCCTTTTCAGTAAATAAACAATAAACATGGTTAAACTGCTGACTGATTGTCTTCTTTCTTTATGCTAAAGATTAAATATGTGGTTTAATGGGATTTTGTATTTCAATCTGCTTTATTTTAAACAAATCTACCCTAAACAATTCCAAGTGTGAAACTTCGATTATGAATTTGAAATTTTAAAAAAAGACAAGCTTTTCACTGGTTTCTGCAGACTTGAGAGAACTAGTACGACATTTTGATCTCGTAGATCCTCTAGTTTTGATTTTAAGCATGCGAGAAAAGGCAAATCTATTCCGTTAGAAATTCAAAACAATTTTGTTCTTTTAAAAGCTTTTCAGTAGGATGAGTTATGATTGAAAACAAATAAGACTTCAAATTAACGTGCAATTTACTTTAGTTTGACGTGATGTGTATAAATATACAGTTAAACCCTAAATAAGCCATACATTAAAAGAATTCATCAAATGTCGTGTTCTTCACTATCTGAAAATGAAATGTTGCAGATATTTAGTTTTTTAATTTAATGATTATATGGAGCTCTTTAACCCCGCATATTCATGGCTATCTATTTATTTTCTCAAATACTAAGATTTACGTAAAATAGTATAAAACCCTGGACAAATTGTCAAGACGACATTTGATAAATTCTTTTGATGTATCATGGCTCATTTAGGGATAAACTGTATAAAAACGAATTTTTTTAAATCCTAAAAATCATGTAATGAGTAAAATTAATCGAATTTAAGGTCATTAACTAAAAGTATTTTTTTTTAGATGCAATCTATTCAAAATACCGCTCAAAGTTTTATATTCTCTTTAGATTTTCATAACTTGACATTATACAACTTAAAAATTATGTAAATTAAAAATCCTTTGTTCGAATATTTTAAAAATGGCGATTAAAAGATTTAAAAATAATTTAGTTTTCCTGACAAAATATGATTTAGAGGTCACCCTCTCTCTTTCACCAGAAAGCAGAGGTTGGGACTCAGACATCTTTATCGGCCTAAAATATTTTTTTTATAAAAATTAAAAAATACTTTTTAATCCTTCAGCATTGTGTTTGTATATTTTAAGTATAAATACAAGGGTATTTAAATATGGGATAACGACCAAAACTTATTATTCGTGGAGATAATAAACACTTATTAAGAAGGAATTGCAGTTCTAATTTGGTATGGTTTGAGCCGGGGGTGTGGGGAGATGGACATGGGAATTAATTCTTTAAGTGATTGTTTGTCTCATTTAAAGACTTTAAAAAATTTAAATTTAAGTCCATTATGCCACTCAAAGATGTTCTTAAGAGCCAGAATGTTTTACAGTTTTATTTTGAATTTCTAGGATTTTTTTCGATACTGTGAACTTTACCAAAACAAAAAGAAGGATAGCTTTATTAGGCCAAAAAAGTGAATAAAATGTTCAGTAAAAATTTCGTCAATTCTGATTCCCAAGAACATCTTTCAGTGGTAGGAAAGAATAATCCCTTTAATTAGCAGAAAATCTACCAGAATCAGTCCCAAATTCTTTTGGTTTGAAAATATACTAAGCCTTCTTCTAGTAAAATATGGATCGAAAGTATAAAGTCCTTTGTTTTAAATTGTCGAAAATGGTTTTGTAACTAATTTTATAATCTGATGTAACTCTGAGGATTAGTTCAATTCCTCTTTAATATCTCGTGGTGTTCATACCCTGGAGGGATAACTTAGATTGGGGGATCAAGCATTACTTCTCAAATTTAAAGGTAAACACACTGGAAATCGAGATCAAGTATTCAAGATTAACTATACAAAAGTTCTGATATTTGAACAATGAATATTTTTAGAAAAATATTAATCACGTAAAGCAACGAAGCATTATAAATTTTCCCACATGCACATCAATTTAATAATATATTAAAATTAAAACTTAAATAGATCTAGAAATTCAATTTAAAAAATGAAATGCTAGAAAAAATATACATTTAAAGGGACTGTACGCGTATTTTCAAGTGACCCACCATTGATAAATGTCAATACCCGATTCACAACGTTACCCGTGAAACCTTGATTTGATCAATAATGTGGAAGATATTGTCGTTTTCCTAAGTGTTTTAGTTCTTATATGTGTCCTGCAGTAGATATGCATGAAGTCACTTTTGTTGAGAAATCACGATTGAAAATAATCAGTTTTCAATATAATAAACATTGATATCTAAGTCATACTTGGTCAGACATTTCTTTTAAAGGCACCATTGTGAATCGGGCGTTACCATCTTTCAATGGAGGGTTTTTTAAAATTATAAAAGCACCTGTTATGTAATTATAAAAGCACCTGTTATGTATGTTGAGTCACTGAATAACAACATTTAAATAATCATTGTTAAGTCCTAAACTAGGGGAATGCTACTGAAATTATTGAAATATCTATCTATCTATCAAATATATTTCTGTTTTCATCTATCTATCTTTCTATCTATCTATCTATCTATCTATCTATCTAATATCTATCCAGCTTTGCTAAATAGAAACTTGTATATAGACATCACATGAGTTTTGTTGGGCTGAGAAAATGAAGCGTGTGTACTGTAGAATAAATAAATATAATATTTATAAATTTATAAATACACATTTTACGACTTTATTTCACGGACACTATAACGAGCATAATGCGTGTTAATAAAAAACACTAATCTAATGCTTTCTTTTCTTTTTTTTAGGAAGTTATATTAAAAATATTTGTAAGTAAAAAATACCGAAATAAAATATAACTGTAAGAAAGTGGTTAAGATGAAAAACACAAGAACAAAACTCAAAACTCTTAATCATTTGTAAATTTAGTAAAATTTTTGTAAACATTTTTTTATTTCCCAATAAAACCCTCCATTACAATAACAGTTAAATTCTCAAAAATGAGCTTGCCCTTAAAAACAAACTTTAATCAGTGATTCTCTCTAAAAATTAATATAGGTTTAAAATTTCTTAAAACATTGTTTTTGTCTGTAAAAAAAAAAGTTTATGACCGTCAGAAAGACATACCGTGTGATTAAAATGAAACAAAAATACAAAACTCAAAAAAGCCAATTATTCCTAATCATCTGTAAAATTTTGTAAAAATTAAAAAAAATTAGATTGTTTTCAAATTTTCCCAATAAAATTTACCATTGCAATAGCAGTTAACTTTTAGGTACTGATTCTATCATATATCTTTCAGAGTTTGGAAAGGATATAAAATGAATAATTACTAGATATTTCTTGTATATTAATTGTTCCAAAACATTTAGTAAAAGGTCATTTTATAGAATACAATATAATAGATTTCAGAATCACTTAATTTCTGAATTCTGCCTAAACTCTTTCAATTATTAACATTTTTTATCTAATGTGGAAAACTTTATGATTAAATACCTAGGAGACAGCCAAACAAAAAGTATAAAATAGCAAATACGAAAAATCTACATTTAATGGGTTTTAATAGGTTCTTAAGTTAAAACTCCCTGGAGCCGAATTTAAAGAATTTGTGCCGCGGCTTAAATTTGAGCCGGGGGATCAAATATGGTTGGTTTTACTTAAAAGTGTATTCCATTTTTATATTTATGCCGACGCTCAATTGAAACCGGGTTTCTGGGGATTTAAGACGTGGCTTAAATTCATTAAATTCGGACACTGGACTATTAACCAGGACCTCAAGTTTAACAACAATTAAGAAATGTAAATGGCATACACTTACCATACACTATACATTTAAAATCCCTATATCTTTGAAACCTAATCAAATGTAAAAGAATTTTGACATCAGGTTTTTAAAGATTTTAGGATTAGATAAAATAAGCAGATACTTCTTAGAGATATACAGGGTGTCGTGAATAGTTTAAAATGTCTTCTTCCATAATTTAAGAAGTTGTTTGATACTAAAGAGACAGTTATATTATAGTAAAATAAATTTCACAGTAATATATATATATATAAACATTTTTATAAAGCAATAAACTGAAAAAGCCTTCAATATCTAATACAGAATGTGGAAGAAGACATTCAAAACTATTCACCAGCTGTCATGTTTCGTGGGACACCCTTTAACAGCTATTCAAATTACAAAATCGACGTAGCTTTCAGCTGAAATGAAGCGTGAAGACGACATTAAGTCCGCTCTTTATTTTATCAAGTTTAAGTTGCGATATTAAAATACTTTTCGGGTTTAATACTTACAAAATGTAAGCGAAATTCTCCTCCATGCTCATTTTAAAGTCTTGTTTGGATTCTAAAATAACTTTTAAATATTAAATTATTTTTAACATCTTTGTAAACGATATAAACTTTCTTGATAAAGGGACTAAAGGGACTGTAAACTTTCTTGCTAAAGAGACTAAAGGGACTGTAAACTTTCTTGCTAAAGAGACTAAAGGGACTGTAAACTGTCTTGATAAAGAGACTAAAGGGACTGTAAACTGTCTTGATAAAGAGACTAAAGGGACTGTAAACTTTCTTGCTAAAGAGACTAAAGGGACTGTAAACGTAATTTCAAGTGAACCACCCTCCAAGCAAAGAAACCGATTCTCCAAAAAACTTTATCTGATCAAGATATTTTCATTTAAGTACATAATTTTGATATTTTCTCTCTGCTATCCGTCAGTAGAGATGCACAAGTAACTTTTGTAGAGAAACCACAATCGAAAATAATTAGTTTTCAAAATTATAAACATTGATATCTAATTCTAATTTAATGAGACAAAGCTTTTTAGGGTGCCGTTGTGAATCGGGCATTGCCACCTTTCCATGGAGGGTCACTTGTAGTTACGCTTACAGTTATTATTATATCTTCTTTGTAAATCACGCTAGATAGCATGTCTTGTTTGGGGTTTTCAATAGTTCCTTTTTTTGAAATTATCAATCTATTAATTACGGTCTGCAGTATGCATTTAATTTTTGCAATTTCATCAATTTGAAAACATTCTGAACTTTTTAACAAAATAATTGATAAAAAAAAAACATTAAACAGTTTAGTAATACTCATAAAATTTTACAAAGCATTTTTTAAAAAGACGCAAAAGTAAATAATTTTTTTTTTTGCAATTTAATTTAATTTTAGTATCAAATGTGACTTTTCAAGGCGAGAATTTTCTTCGTTCTCCAATAAATACAAAATTGTATCACAATATTGTATTATCGTCAAGTCAACATTTTTTCCTGTCCCTTTTCGATTTCGACGTTCCTTTGGGACCGATCAATTCAGCCGCGCTTTTTGACGTTTATTGGATTAAAAACAGACATTTAAAGGAGAATAGTAAACCTATTCACTGTACAATGTACATTTCTAGCATATAAAGAAGAATAGTAAATCTATCCACTGTACAATGTTTATATCTATAGCATATAAAGAAGAATAGTTAATCTATACACTGTACATTTCTAGCATGTAAAGAAGAATAGTAAATCTATACACTGTACATTTCTAGCATATAAAGAAGAATAGTAAACCTACACACTGTACAGTTCTAGCATACAAAGAAGGATAGTAAATCTATACAATCTACATTTCTAGCATATATAGAAGAATAGTAAACCTATACTACTGTTAATTTCTAGCATATAAAGAAGAATAGTAAACCTAAACTACTGTTAATTTCTAGCATATAAAACTAAATCTATACACTGTACATTTCATATTATCTATAGCATATACAGTCTACAAAACTTAAATTGTGATAACTCCTATCATATTTCGGGGTACCACTACCATGGTTACTGATTTATACTGAAATATCTATCTATACATCTTCGATATATCTATCTATCTCTATTATCCCCATCAAACTATCTATCTCTCTAACTACAAATCTATCTATCTATCAATTTTTTTAGTTCTATCAATACAACTATCTATTAATCTATATTAAAACATGTTTATTGACTGATAAGGATCGAGAGATCTGAAATAATTTGTATTAAAAAATATGAAAACTGAGAAGCTGTTCTGATTATTGCTTTATAGTTATTAATCAACGAGGTTATAGTGTATTATAGAGTGATGATGTACGCTAATCCTTTACTAATTTTATAGGCCATAAACTATACCGAGAGCGTACTGCATATTTGTTTATTATAAGGAGATTCTGGCCTAACCTATAGTTTATCAATATTAGTAAACAGTTGTAAGTGTATACAGTACAGCTAACTGAGCACACAGGTAGAAAACTATCATCCCCCCTGTTTATATATATAGATATGTCTGTTTGTTCGTCTGTTTGCCTTTCTATCTATTTATCTATCTATCGATCAATCTTTTGATTAATCTATTGATCAATCTATCGAACAATCTATTGATCAATCTATCGATCATGTGTCGATCAATCCATCGATCATGTATCGATCAATCTATTGATCAATCAATCTATATCCATCAATCTATCGATCAATCTGTTATTCAATCTGTTGATCAATATATCCATTAATTCCATCTCTTTATCTATCTATCCATCCTTTCCAACTCTATTTCTATCCATCCATTAATTTCATCTCTATATCTATCCATCCATTAATTCCAACTCAATATCTATCTATCTTTATACAATCTCTAATTTAGTTTTTGATGAGTAGATTTTGTTAATGTCAGATTCTGTTTAAGTTTCTTGCTGAGTAATTCCAATAAAATTGTTCTCTCTATCAACGTCAATTTCTGAATCCTGAAAGGAGGGGGGGGGGGGGGGGGGTAGCAGCAATTGAAAATGGCAGACGCATTAACCCTATTCCTGCTGGGGGGGGGTCAATTTAACCCCCCCCCCTTGTAGTTTTTTTTGCATAAATCAAACAATTTTGGTCTGAGGCTTTTGAAATTTTCTGACTTTTCCCATATACCTTGCTTTAGGTCTAAATCCGGGCTATTATACCTAGTGCCTGAGTCCTCAGGCTCACTGCCTGAATGACTAATTTTACTTGTAACAAACTAAATCTTTCAGTTGTCAGATTTTAATAATTTTGAACTTTTGGAAAGCCCATGACATATTGAAAGAAATTTATACAAATTTTTTGCATACAACCTGTCAAAAGAAATTTGCACATTTTTAATTTTTCTTAAATACACATCAGGTTATTAAAAAATTTTAAATATTTTTGCATGGAATGGAATGGTCAAAGGCTTTTCAAAGATGTATATTTTATCTTTTTTTGGACATTTCTTTTTTGCAAACATTTTTACTATATAACTGGATTTTGCAAAAATAATTCAATTTTTGCAAATTTCCTATTTGTTTAGCAGATTCTAAAAGGAGAGCATAAGGAGTATCATTTGTCATATTTGGACATCAAGCATGGGATTTCGAGGGGGGGTCAAATCCCCCCCATCCGCGTATCCTGGTTTTCAAGTATACCAGCAAGGATAGGGTTGCTAAAAGTAGACTACTGATTAATTTTTTACTCTTAGTAGATATCTTCATG